ACTGAGAGCCAGGCCTTCTCGACCAACATCAGTGTGTGACCTCACCAATGCGCTTTTGGAAGAATGGTCAAAAATTCCTATAAACACTCTCCTCAACCTTGTGGACAGTCTTCCCAGAAGAGTTGAAGCTGTAATAGCTGCAAAAGGTGGACCGACATCATATTGAACTCTGGGTTAGGAATGGGATGGCACTTCAGTTCATAGTATGAGTCAAGGCAGGTGAGCAAATACTTTTGGTAATATAGTGTATATATATATATATATATATATATACATACACACATATATAGATATACATAAAAATATCTATCTATATATATCTATACACATAGATGTAGATTTATGTGTATATACAGTGCCGTGAAAAAGTATTTACCCCTTCCTGATTTCTGTGTTCTTTGCATATTTATCACACAGAATTGTCAGATCATTAATCCAATTTTAGTATCACACAGAGACAACCCAAGGAAATACAAAATGCAGTTTCTAAATGATGATTTTGTTTATTTGTTGAATCAAGAAATCACTTAAACAGAATCTGTCAGACAAAGTGAAGCAGGCTACAAGACCTCAAGAACAAACACATCATGCCACGTTCCGAAGAAATTCAAGAAGAAATGAGAAAAAAAGTGATTTAAGCCATAGCCATAGCTCTGGGGCTTCAGCGAACCACTGTCAGAGCCATTATCCACAAATGGGAACAGTGGCAACCCTTCCCAGGAGTGGTCGACCAACTAAAATTACTGCGACGACGACTCATCCAGGAGGTCACAAAAGAACCTAGAACAACATCCAAAGAACTGCAGGCCTCGCTAGCCTCAGTTAAGGTCAGTGTTCACGACTGGCATCCATGGGAGAGTTTCCGGACGAAACCCACTGCTGTCAGAAAAGAACACAAAGGCTCGTCTGCCATTTGCCGAAAAAACATCTTGATGAACCTCAAGACTTCGTAGAAGGTGTGCGGCCGGTTACATCTGGCGTAAAAATGGCACAGCATTTGATAAAAAGATCATTATGCCAACAGTGAAGCATGGTGGTGGCAGTGTGATGGTCTGGTCTGGGTCGGCTTTGCTGCCTCAGGACCAAGATTACTTGCTGTGATTGATGAATTCTGCTCTCTACCAGAAAATCCTAAAAGGATTTTATGTCCATCAATTTGTGCCCTCAAGCGCACTTAGATCATGCAGCAGGACAACAATCTGAAACACACCAGCTAGAGGACCTTTTAATGGCTCAAGAAAAACAAAATAAAGGTTTTGGAGTGGCCATGTCAGTCCGGATTTAAATCGAAGTAAATCGAGATGCTGTGGTGTGACCTTAAACGGGCAGTTCATGCTAGAAAACCCTCCAATATGACGGAGTTGAAACAATTCTGCAAAAAAGAGTAGGCCAAAATTCCTCCACAACAATGTGAAAGACTCATCACCAATTATCGCAAACGCTTGATTTCTATTATTGCTGCCAAGGGTGGCACAACCCATTATTAGGTTCAGGGGGCAATTACTTTTTCACATAGAGCCAGATACACTATATTACCAAAAGTATTGGCTCAACTGCCTTGACTCCTACTATGAACTGAAGTGCCATCCCATTCCTAACCCAGAGTTCAATATGATGTCGGTCCACCTTTTGCAGCTATTACAGCGTCAACTCTTCTGGGAAGACTGTCCACAAGGTTGAGGAGAGTGTTTATAGGA